CACAATCCTTCCCGCGAGTGCATGAATCGTATGCGAAGTACATGCAGGGCAGTTTTGCTTTCTGCTCTTTGGTGAGCGGTGGCTTGTCCTCCTTGTTCTTGCCTTTGCCATCTTTCCCTTTTCCTTTTCCTTTTTGGGCAAACGCTGCATCAACATTCTTGTCTTCCTCAGCCTTCTTTGATGTCTTGGGCTTGTCCTCTTTCTTGACCTTTGTGTCTTGCTCTGGCTTCTTTTCTTTCTCTTTCTTTGTCTTCTCATCTTTCTTCTTCTTGTCTTTTGCCTCTGCTTGTGCCCCTCCAACCTTTGGATCTAAGCCTGCTGAGGTGAGAGCTTTGTCCATTGATGTTGTGTTCAAATCCATTTGGGATATCTCAATGGCTTCACACATCTTGCTATACAACCAACGGCTGGTTCGCTTGTAGCTACCAGTGTTTGCTTCCCGGAACTTGTCAATTGCGAGTGCCATTTTGGGGTGATTCTTGAGGCTTTCAAACAACAATGACCTCAGCGACGTTTCAGCTGGCATCTCACTAGGTTCAAGAGCGCCTACGCAAAAGTCATATCGCTGTCGAAAGTCTTCAAGTGCCTTGATGTCACTACCATTCATCTTCAATGACAAAAGGTGGTGCTGACTGAGTGCCGTTCCGCGGTCGCGATCGAGTCGAAACTTTTGGAAGATCAACCACAACAACTTGCGACCTTTCGGTTGTTGATCATGTGTCTGACATCTCTCTTGGTGGGTCTGAAACTCCAAGGCAAATTTTGTACCCTTTGCTGCTTCTAGCAATTTGGCGCCTAGGATCCGATCCAAGATGGGAAAGTCCTTTGCATTGTTGAACTCTTTACCATCTTCCAAGATGTTGCAACGATTGATCCAACGGAACACGATGCTTTCATCATTCTTGGCAAACTTGCAAACCCCACTAAACACTGCGTTTCGGAAACTCCGGCATTTTGCTGCGTCTTGAGGCAAAGCAGGAATCTTTAGATAGTCATACTGTTTGATACGCATTAGGCGTTTCTCTCGTTTGTAGGGGTCCTCCGAATCGCTTGATGAGCCATCTCCACTTGGGGATTTTGGCGGTGAGTCTCCGCCCCCTCCAGGGTTTCTGTTTGAACCCTTTCCTTTCGCGTCACTTGAAGAGGATGAAGAACCACTTCCTGGCGGCGATCCGGGGACTTTGCGGCGGTCTCTTGATCGGTTCGATGATGGCTGATTGCCCGATTGCACAGGGTTTGCCGTCAACCCACCAATCAATTGCTGCATTTGAATGGTCAATTGATGCACTTGCATTTGCAAAGCAGTGTTTGGGTCACTTTGGATTTGAAGTCCGATCTGATCATTTAGCAAGGCAGCAGGAGGCAACATTGGATTTGCCTTTGGTATCTCTCCTGCACAAGCGGACTGAGTTGGTGAAGGTGCCAAATGCAGCTCTTCACCATTGGTTCCTGTGGCAATGGGCGTCAATGCAAACGAAGGCAACACGACCCGCGAATCTTGCATTGGTTGACCGTCCCTGGAATGCGACCGTGCCAGGATGGTAGGATTTGGGAGTTGCAATGCTATGCACCACCGGAACCAACTCACCCATTCCATGAACTTTCCTAGATGGACTTGGCTGACCAACACTTTCAGGTTTCCTATCAACGAATGAGGTTGCCTTTGGCGGCGGACTACAAGGATGGATGGTGCTTGGTGCCCCTGGAGTACCACTCTTTGCAAGGGACTGCAACCTTTCATCTTGATCCTTGATCCTCCTCATCATTGCTTCCATTTGACCCCTCATTTCATTCATCTGCCTAGCGGTGGACTCTAGTGCCTTCTCCCTTTGGTTCAATGCACCGGTCACTTCAACCACCTGGTTCGTGCGATCAATCACTAAAGCCTTCAATTGCTCAATCTGGTTTTGGTAATTAGCAACCTCTTGATGAGACTGATTCATCAAACGGGTAGCTTGACCTTGGGTTTGACGGACCAGTTCATGGGCTTCTTCTTGAGACTGCTGGACCATGCTCCTGGCAGTGGATTCTACCGCCTGGATTTGAGACCTGGCTTGGTTTTCAATGGATTGAACTTGACTCTGGATTTGGGCTTGAGCATTAGATTCAATACCCTGGATCTGCTGAAGGGCTTGGTTCCTAAACTGACTCTCCATTGCTTGGACATACTGAGCAGTCTGGTTCCTCGCATTAGCTTCAACTTCAGAGGCGTATTGAATGGCTTGGCCCTGCACTTCGGACACGACCTGGTGAGCCTGAGCTACTACCAGAGGGTTCAAATCCAAAAGATTGACTGATCTGGCATCTGTGAAATGAGACGACTGGTTGCTTTCGAACACAATCTGTCTTGCATCAATATGACCGATGGTCGGTTGTTGGTATTCAACACCCGTCCTTGCTGTTGGGTTTCCTTGATTACTTTGAACCATCGATGAGTGAGATGTTTCTGTCAGGGATGACAAACTCGTATCTTGGATAGGAGTTGCAATGGCTTCCCCAAACATGACAATCTGTTCACTCTCCGGTGAACCATGCGCACTTCCTCCTGATCCCTCCATCGCTTCTTTTCAAAGATCAAACGACGTCTACTCGGCTGCAATGAAATTCTCAACTGCCTCCTTCGTCCAGCCGTCGCTCAACCAATTGGCGTATGGATACGCAGATCCGCTGTTCAAGCTCCTCTTCCGTGAAAGCTTAATGTGAATCCCTGTTGCCCTGTCGGTGGCCAAAGTGGCTTCCAACTCAGATAGGATATCAGCACTGTCGTCGATCAAACAACAAGACAAGTGATCTCCCAACCGTTCGGCAAATCTCGAGATAACTGCAGCCTTCCCTGTCGAACCCTCCGGCTCGAATGTACAAATCATCCCGTCAAACAAGTGATGAATCCCTTCGCTGTTGCTCCAAATGTCCTTGCACGCTTGATAGCGCCCCGAACTCCCAATGAAAGAAAGAACGAAAACAAATGGAATACGCTCGTGATCCAACGCAAACTGTCTGAACTTCTCGATCGCCTCAATGTTCTCAACTCCAATGCGACCTGTCTGTCTGCAAGTATCGCTGTGATCCCTGTCAAGAACCTGATGGTGATCAACAAAAAGGACCTTAACCTGGCCAATGTCTGCAACTGCTCCCAAATGCACTTCCTGTGACTCCCAACGAGTATAGCGACCCTCCGCTGCCTCAAAGGTAAGGAAATGTACCGTGTCCGGCAGAACAATCGAGACTTGAACTGGCTCTGGCCTCCGCGGCGGTGCCTTTGCAAATGCCTTTGGCGTAAGGCCAATCACAGCAGGCGGTACCGAAACAGCGGGCTCAGGCCTAGGTGGCAGTGCCGAAGCAGCTAACCTATGCGCCTCCTCGAATCGAGCTCTGTACGTTTGAAGAACCTCCTCAACAATCGTCACCCGACTCTGTGCGCAAAAGTTAAAAGACGTAACACCGTTCAGCAAATGCGGATGTGTCAACGCAAAATGCCCCTCAGCCACGCCCTGGCGAATGAACGCCCTCTTCTGTGCTCGGCCGCTCTTTCCAGAGCGAGGGAACCTCAGAAGCTTGTGGAGCTCCTCGTACTCGGGATGCTCCGGATCAGAATAACCCCCTTCAGGCGGGGGCGGACCAGCGGGTTCAGTCGGACGACGTGAACCAGAGGAAGATGCGATGGCTGCAACGACGGCCAACAACCGATCGCAAAGCGATACGGCTGATAACCAAAAGAACACAGCAGCCGCCCCTTTTTCCCACAATCTTGAGCCAAACATGTCCGGTGAAGTGAAACGTCAATGACTGGATCATGTGATGGCTACATTCATAAAGATTCCTATGACTTGCATGTCAAGTGATACAACAGTGCTTGGTGACACATCGAATGCAAAGCTTGCGTGCAGAGATGCTCTTTGGTTGTTCATGGACTGCTTCAAGGACTGCTTCCCCTGGCGTGCCAGATGCATCGACCAGGGTGCTTTGCTAGTGGATTAGGGGTGGTGGTTTCACCCCATGTCTCTCTCCTAATCAAGCCTCTATTTGCACAAGCAGGGGACCAGGACATCGACAGACGAGCGGCGTAGGAGAGCAAAAGACCAGCGGACCAGGAGACAGAAGGACTAGGATACCAGGGGACCAGCGGACCACAGGACCAGAGGACCAGGAGACCGGAGGAATAGGGGACCAGTGGACTAAAGGACCAAGGGACCAGGGGACCAAAGGACCAATGGACCAGAGGACCAAGGGACCAAGGGACCACATTACCAGAGGACCCGCAGACCACAAGGCCAGGAGAGCAGCAGAAGAGGCCTATCCAGGAATATTTTTTTGATTCGCTTTTTATTATTTTTTGATCCTGTTTTTATTCTTTTTTTGATGCTCTTTATATTATTTTTTTGATACCTATGCCCTCCAACCTAATAGCGACGGCCTCTAACCCAATAGCGATGGCCTCCAACCTAATAGCGATGGACTCCAGCCTCCAACCTAAAAGCGATGGCCTCCAATTTAATAGCGATGGCCTCCAACCTAATAGCGATCGATGGCCTCCAACCTAATAGCGATGGCCTCGAACCAGATTAATAGCGATGGCCTCCAACCTAATATTTAATGGCCTCCAACCTAATGGCCTCGAACCTACTAGCGATGTCCTCCAACCTAATGGCAATGGCCTCCAACCTAATAGCGATGGCCTCCAACCTAATAGCAATGGGCTCTAACCTGACGGCAATGGCCTGCAACCTAATAGCGATGGCCTCCAATCAAATTGCAATGGCCTCCAACCTTATAGCGATGGCCTTGAACATGCTGCAAGATTCTTACAACCTAGAATTGCAGGATACACCCCCATTCCCGCATTGTTGACTAAAGTCTGACCAGTATGGTAGAGTCAGTCTCAGCTGCAAGGAGTTCAACACACGGCACCGCATCCAAACCATCTGGATTGAATTGCATCCACTGAATCGACTTTGGTGATCAATACATTGCAAATGCTCTTCTACAGCCCGATGCTGCTCCTCTCGTGTGTTGAAATGAGCAAGCGCGGTGCAGCATTTCTTCACCATCGCTCAAGCACATCATGGCATCCCGCGCATCCAACCCATCTCTGAAGGCAAAAATAAGCAAACATAACTATCATGGGTCGCTCCTTCAAACATGCACAATCTGAACACAGCTGAGCTTGGCCGCTCAAAAACAATCGACAATCCTTTGCAAGTTAGCCAAAATCGATCTGCACGACCAAAACTGGCATCTAATTATTTTGTCGAGATGTGAAGCGCTGCAAATATGCTGAATTTGAATATGGCTCCGGTATCATTGTTTCAATCTACTTCATTGGGAGCCATCAACGCAACCAAAGTCCCGTTGCCTGTCAAATCGGCCATAGCCCGAATCAAGGACCATGGTATCGACTGGTGACCAACGACCAAAGATTATCGGGAAGCTACACAAAGGACGCTACTAGGAACAATGGGCATCGCTACTAGTAGCAAGGACGCTCCTGGCATTACTACTAGTAGCAAGGACTATATATTTATTTGATATACAAGAGTTGGTAGGTAGCAACCAAAACTTCACCAAACGGCAGTCTGAAGCCGGATCGTGATCCGACCGTGAGGCAACTAGCTTGATTTGTTGCGTCTCTGGGCGCCCGAATTTGGGAAGGCCGCCATGTACTCCGACCTACTAGCGATGATGGCCTGCAACCCAATAGCGATGGCCTCTAATAACGATGGCCTCCAACCAAATAGCAATGGCCTCCAACCTAATAGCGATGGACACCAACCTAATAGCAATGGCCTCCCACCTAATAGCAATGGCCACCAAACTGATAGCGATGGCCTCCAACCAAACAGCGACGGCTTCGAACCTCATAGCGATGGCCTCCAACCTAATAGCAATGGCCTCAACCCAATCGCGATGGCCTCCATTCTAATAGCGATTGACTCCAACCTAATAACAATGGTCTCCAACCCAATAGCAATGGCCTCCAACCTAATAGCAATGGCCTCCAACCCAACAGCGATGGCCTCCATCCTAATAGCGATGGCCTCCGACCTAAAAGCAATGGCCTCCAACCTCATAGGAATGACCTCCAACCTCATAGCAATGGCCTCCAACCTAATAGCAATGGCCTCCAACCTAATAGCGATGGCCTCCAACCTGATAGCAATGGCCTCCAACCTAATAGCAGTGGCCTCCAACCTAATAGCGATGGCCTCCAACCTAATAGCAATGGACTCCAACCTGACGGCAATGGCCTCCAACCTAATAGCGATGGCCTCCAACCTATATAGTAGCAATGGCCCGCTAACCGAATAGCAATGAAAGAATGCTCTTTGGCAACCGGCTGACATGGAGAGTGCACATGATAAGAGCCTTCAGGGTGAATTGTGTAAAAATCGGGAGGACCCACACATGCGACACTCTACGGGCCATTTAAAGGTAAGGGTATGGCAATGTTGGGCTTCATGTCTTAATGGAGGCTCTAGCTTGAAAACATCTCTCACGGCCACTGTGCAAAGGTCCATCTTAAAGATCACAACTGGATCCAAAACACCAATGTGCTGATGCATCTTGGCCAAAACAACACAAAAACTGATCGAAACCGTGGTTTTGCCTTGTAGTAAAAAGAAGACATTACATTACCAACCAAGCAGTTTTTGTCAAATCATTAGTATCATTAGCATTAACAAGTTCGCGTCCAAAAGCTCTGCAGAAAAAATCTTACAACTCTTGACACCGAACCAGCCTGTCACCTGCATATCACCTATCATTAAACTGTCTTAACATCTTGTGATCTATATCATAGATTCCGATCACCGTGGGACGAGCGGGCGTTTCTTTTGCTAAGTGCAGCCCAGCTTTGGGGAGCGATAGAACTGGGGAGCTGCAGCGTCGCATGGGGTCGCATGGGGTGTTGCGACTTTCTTGTTTCTACTAGCTTCTTGTTACTACTAGTAAGGCAC